TTTTTCACTGATATTGACTTTCTTAATAATATAATATCCATTTTCTTTTGTTGCATTGTTTAATTCATTGTTAAAAAATGGACAATGAGCAGATATGATAGATGCATGTGCATGAACTTCTTTGATGTTTGGTTCTACACCAACATATATTTTTACATCATAAAATTTTCCAGTATTTAACAACCTCTCACTTTCATTAAAATATTTTTCAAATAATGAATTCATTTTTTTTTTTTGAATGACCAATCACATGTTAATAAAAATCCTCCCATTATAAAATTTAGCCAATGAAATCAAATGTCCACTGTGCCATTTTTTAGAGGATTTTATGTTGTGTAGAATCAAACATTAATCATATCAGTTTATTTCATTATCTATTTTTTAGCAATTCATTAATATTATTAAGAAAACTAATATTAGTGAAATATTATTTATTTTATTTATTATTAAATATATAATAATGATAATAATCTGTTTTGGAAGATTTTTATATACATGTAAAATATGTAAAATTGAACTATTAATTACAGAAAATCAACTATTGAACCACTTTATAAATATACAAAATGCTTTATTGAAATTTATGCTAACAAAAACTTTAAAAAGTTGAAAAGTATATGTTTTTGTAAATGTAGTGAAAAATTATTTGAGTCAAGTGAATTTAAATCATTGGAAAAACCAATTCTATTGGAAATTCTCAAAAGAAAAGATTTTCTGTTGGTGAGATGGTTATTTGGGAAACATTTTAAATGGGGAGTAGTAAAACACCCAGAAATCAATAATATCAATGTTGGAGATTGGTCATTATGAAATTTTGTTGAGCTTAACTAATGTTTTTCTGAATACTATGTCATTTATAAGTACTTCAAGGAAAAATGGTATAGACCACAAACCAGATTTCAAAATCATCATTGATTTGGAGATTGTGTTTGGACATTCAAATCATCATCAAAAGCCAATTCCTCGTTGGTTAATGTTGACCTATATAGTAGACCTTGCAATTACAATGAAAATTACATGGAGTTGAAACGATTTTGACTATTTGCAGAATGATAACTGGTCAATTCTTATATATAATAAAAATGTCTTGGCAATCATATATTGACAATCAATTGTTAGCTACAGGTAAAATAGCTCAAGCTGCTATATACGGACATGATAATTCTTTGTGGGCTACTTCTCCAGGATTCAGTGTATGTATTTGTTATTATTATGATTTAGTTAGTTTTTTTTATCACAGATAATTGTCAATTTATTGTTATCAACTTATTATTATCACTATTATCACCATTTGCTTATACTAATAATGCCGAGCACCAAATGTTGTTGAACTAATTTATTGTTGCCTTTTACTAAAGCACAAACTTTCAAGTATACATTTTTTTCAAAAATCAATCAAGTCTAATTAATGCATTTATTTTTTTAATATATTATTATAATTATTACTACTAGTTATCACCTGAAGAAGTTAGTACACTCGTAGCAGCTTTTGATAATGCTGATAAAATTCAAGCAAATGGTATATATTGTAATAATCTCAAATATATAACAACTACTGCTGGTGAAGATAACATTCTTGGCAGAAAGGTAAAGAAAAAAACATCAATTTCGATTTGATCGTTTAACATATATATATATATATATATGTAAAATTAAATATTATACTTATATTTGAAATATTAGGGAAGTGATGGCGTAGTAATATTTAAAACATCAAAAGCTATTATTGTTGGAACTTATCTTGAAGGAACTGCACCTGGAGGAGCTAATAAAGTTGTTGCAGATTTGGGTGAATATTTGAAGAACTCGGGTTATGTACGTATATAATATTATTTTTTTATTGCTATTGTTTTCATGAGACAATATTTAATAATAATTTTATTTCTTTATTTTTCTTTTAAATATAATTATTAAATATCTTTAGTAGTAAATAAAAATCATTGCTATTATTATTAAATCTTTTTTTTTTTGGTTATTTATTTATTGTTATTGTTATTATTATTATTATTATTATTACGAGAACAGACAACAACTACTTTTATTATAAATATATTTTTCATTGATGATCATATAAATACATAAATTATTACGCTTTATTTCAAATAAAATCAAGTGTTTTATTCTTTTTATAATCACTTTAAAAATTTTTTGATGACATCTACTCTTATTAACTTCCATCCAGCAGAAGCTAGTTCAAGTAACACATTAATTTT